TTGGTGCTGATGATGTATTTTGACAATCATTATTATAGTAAGCAAGGTTATTCTGTATACCTGTATGTCTTCCACCTTCCTCCCCGCTCTGTTACATGAAGGCTTGACCCTCCGTTGTACTTCAAGAGTCGAATCCTTGATGGCAAACCAAAAAGTCAAGTCAAGTGTACTGTCCTGATGTAAGGCGAGTACTGTCTTGATGTAAGGCGAGTACTATCCTAATGTAAGGCAAGTACTGTCCTGACGTAAGGCAAGTACTATCGTGATAGAAGGCAAGTACTATCCTGATGTAAGGCAAGTACTGTCTTTATGTGAGGCAAGTACTATCCTAATGTAAGGCAAATACTGCCCTGATGTAAAGCAAGTACTGTCTTAATGTAAAGAAAGTACTGTCCTGGTGTACGGCAGGTACTGACTTGATGTAAGGCAAGTACTGACCTGATGGCATGCAAGTAATATAGTGATGTAAGGCAGGTACTATTCTGATGAAAGGCGTGTGCTATCCTAATGTAAGGCAAGTACTGTCCTGGTGTAAGGCAAATGCTGTCCCGATGTAAGGCAAGTAATGTCTGTATGTAAGGCAAGTACTGTCTGATGTAGGGCAAGTACTGTCCTGATGTAACGCAGGTACTGTCCTGTTGTAAGGCAGGTACTGTCACCTGCAGGCCCTTTGGAAGTAGAAAACCCATCCAGTATAAAATATTTATTCATTAACTCACTGAGTATAGACATTTTAAGCCGTTTACTCACCTGGTAAAGAAATATGACGCTATTAACTCACCGCGTAAAGAAAAAAAAAACTGTTAATTCACAGAAAAAGAAATAATTAATCATTAACTGACCCATTATAGAAATACTAAACCATTAACAGACCTGATATAGAGATATAAAAAAAAATAACACCCGGTATTGAAATATTAAACCATTAACTCATGCGGTATAGACATACTAAATAATTACCTCACCTGATATAGAAATATTAAACCATTAACTCATGCGGTATAGACATACTAAAAAATTACATCACCTGATATAGAAATATTAAACCATTAACTCACAGGGTATAGATATATTAAACCATTAACTCACCTGGAATAGAAATATTTAACCATTACTTCACTTGGTATAGAAATATTAAACCATTAACTGAACCAGTATGAAAATATTAAACCATTAACTCAACCAGTATGAAAATATTAAACAAATAACTCACCTGGTTTTATAAATATTAAGCCAATAACTGACCGAGTTTAGCAACATTAAACCATTACCTCACCAGGTATAGAAATATTAAACCATTAACTTAATGGGTATAGAAATGATAAACCATTAACTTACCCTGCATAGATATATTAAACCATTTAATCACCTGGTATAGAAGTATTAAACCATTACCTCAAAGGGTATTGCAATGTCTCACCACATAACTGAACTGGTATAGGAATCTTGTATTTCAAAACTCTCCCCAGTGTATGTTAGCTCCAACCATATATACCCCTTGGTTACTTTCATTCATAATTTGTTAGGCTGACCAACTTTGCCGAAGGTTACGGGAGTGTCCCGCTGTACTGTTTGCTCGAAAAGCTTTCTGCGTTAATTTCCCTTTACGTTTTTATTTCGAGAAAGAGAATGCCTGTGACATAGGCTGCAGCACTCTCCGCGTGTGGTTTGCGTTCAGGCCAGTCCTGCAGGTTTTTGGAGCGTTGAAAGCGCTGACGTGCTAAAATATACAACACGCGATATTAACGGTGTCGCGGAACACCTTCGTAAACTTCAGTAAAGTTGACGAGCCTGAGCAAGAACCAATCAAAAGTGACCTAGTATGTATACAGGCAGAGCTAACACGCACTGGAGAGATTTTCCTAATATTTACCAATCCGGGATTTGTTGTCCCCTCACATCTCACTCACCCAGTATTTAATGTTCCTACACATCTCACTCACCCAGTATTTAATGTTCCCACACATCTCACTCACCCAGTATTTAATGTTCCCACACATCTCACTCACCCAGTATTTAATGTTTCCACACATCTCACTCACCCAGTATTTAATATCTCCACACATCTCACTCACCCAGTATTTAATGTTCCCACACATCTCACTCACCCAGTATTTAATGTTCCCGCACGTAACTCACCCGGTAAACAACATGTAGTGGTCACTGCGGGGCAAATCGCTTTGACATGAATACCAGTCGACGAAAACGTATATCCCACGTTCGACAACAAACACACCATCAACGTGAGTACGGCTAGAGAACAAAGCCTCATCGCTTGCATTCTGCATGTAAGGATATATTGTGTTATAAATCAGGGCCCCCGAGAGGAATATCAAGCGCTGGTAAAGTACGTAAAAGTAAAGGACCCTTTACCAGACCTTCAGGCGTATTGGGCATGTAAGGCTAGATCTATATTTTATAGACCAACCGGCACTTGGTGGGTGATACGGTCAACATCACACCGGCCACCCATTCTGGTACCCATTCAATGCTAACTTGACCTGCAAGTGCTGGGAGAAGACTAGTATTTTCTCCCACGCTTACACATGGACACATGAAACAGTAATGTCATAACTGCATTTTAATTTTTTTTTCTATTAGTCAAATAACATGTTTCGTGCTTGTTTTTTTTTTTTTTTTTTTAAACTGGGTCACGGTAATTTTAGGCGTACGGCCTTTTCCGTTAGTATGGTGTATGACCTCGTCTTGCGTGGATCAGGGACTTAGCATCTACTGGGCATGGATGCGATCACATGACTGATGTGGGTCTGTCGGATGGATGCCCACTCTTCCTGGAATGTCTGGAACAGATCACGACCATTGGCTGGAGCAACGTTTCAGCGACAACCATGTCTTTCAGCCTATCCCTGAGATGCTCAATCGGACTTATATCTGCAGACAGGGAAGTGTTTGAATAATATTAGCGGTCAGGAACAGCGTGGTAAACCATGCAGAATGGGGTCTGGTTGAAATATCCCTGTTGAAAAGGATATATGTTGGCATCCCAATATTAAACGACATGTGGTCGAAGAATTTCATTGCAGTATCGTTGCGCATTCAAGCTTGCTTCAATGTGCACCAATTGACTCCTTTCGTTGTAACTGATCATTCCCCACACCATTACACCTCCACTACCGTGCAGCAGAGCTTCATCAACACAATTGTGGACTAAACTTTCATTTTGCCTACGGTAAACCATACGCCCTCTATCATGACACTATAACAAAAAGAAAGAATCGTTACTGAACCAGACACGTCTCCATTGATTGTCACCTGCCCAGGGAAGATTTTGGTTGCCCAAAGAGGCCGATTTCGGCAGTGGCGACGCGTAAGGACAGGTCTGTTCAGAACAGTTTGACCAGATACATGACGTCCTGTGGGCAAAGTGCGCAGTTGAGGAAGCTCTTGTAAACCTGTTTCTGAGGTGACGAAACCGAATAAAGCGATTCTCTGCTGCTGTTGTTATCTACTGTGATGTCGGTCTTCAACTGAACCAGTGGCTTGGAACAGGTGCCAATGTCAACTGCTGGTACTCTGATGCACGTTTAGATACCTTGCAACCTGACTGTGACGTTTTCCTGCCTGAAATCGGCTAATAGCAAGATTCCTTGGATGTATCGACTGAGGCCCCATTCGTGACTGCTCGAAAATGAACAAAGTGTTTCTGTGTAGCGTTATCCTTTTATAGGGTTTCAGTTGCGTGTGCAGTGTTCACCCCGAATTGTGTTGCTTTCTCGTGTGCGCATCACCAGCTACGCTCACAAATATGGTCTCAAACAGCTGACGACTGCGTTGTAAAGATCGTGAAAACTCACGCAATTCACGCCCACATGTCCACTGGACACGGTAAACAACATCTGAGACTGCGTTTTACATACCCGAGCACGATATTTTATTTACAAACTAATAAAAACACGCCGTCGGATAACTATTCGTTTCTTTTTATTTATTTTTACACTATATTACACTCATAATTCACCTCGGTACTGTAACATTAAAATCAAGATGAAAATAGGAGCTCATGCACACATTCACGTTTCCAGGATAACTCTAGTTACTGAGAAAATATCGAAAATATAACGGCAGCGATTTGTAAACGCACAATAGCATTTTGGGCACAATATAAACAATTTAAGTTATGCTGATGACACAGTCTTGATAGCAACAAGTCAGAAAGAACTACAGGAAATGATGGCCGTTGTGGTGTTAGAAAGTGGAAGAATGGGCATCAGTTTGAATAATGGGAAGACAGAAGTAATAGTGGTATCAAAGAAACGAATTATTCCTCAGTGTGTAATAAAAGTTGATGGTGTTATTTTAGGACAAGTACAGAAATTTAAGTATCTGGACACATGGAAAAACATCAGATGGAAGATGCATAACTGAGATAAGAAATAGAATAGGACAGGCAAAAACTGCATTTTATAAAATGAAAAACATCTTGTGTAATATATCCGTGTCATTGAGAGTTAGAAAAAGAATTCTCGCTTGCTACATACATCCAGTTTTAACATATGGCTGTGAATCCTGGACAATCGGTAGGCAGGCCAAACAATTTCTGGAGGCCTCGGAGATGTTGTTTTACAGAAGAATGCTTAGAATACCTTGGACAGCCAAAAAGAGCAGCCAAGAGGTTTTGAAAGAGGCGGGAGCCCGAAGACAACTTATCACAAACATCAGAAGGAGACAGTCATCATTTTTCGGCCATGTTATGAGAAGAGGGAAAATAGAACATGTTGTGACCACTGGAAAGATATGTGGAAGGAGAGATAGTGGAAGACAACGAGAGAAGATGCTTGACAGTCTTGTTGCATGGCATGGAGGTGTGTCGGCACACGAACTGATACATGCTGCAGCAGATCGCAGATTATGGAGAGGCATGATCGCCCACGCCAGTCGGCAAGGCACCTGATGATGATGATGACAATAGCATTGTTCTAATGTATTTTAAACTTTACATAAAAGATCTATTCCAAAATATTTTATCATGGAGAACTTACACTCAAAATTCTGAGAACCGTTACTGTAGTGCTGATAGCAATGTCTGGATCCTTGATGTTCTGGTACCGGATGTTGATCTGAAATATCAGTTGAATTAACATTCGTGTTAGTGTGTGTAATTGTTGTGTTTTTGCATGACATACGATGTCCGGTTATAAGCAACTCACATAATAGGCTTACCATAAGGTAGTTTTGTGGCGACTCCATAATTAAGGTTGGCTGCAGTGCACCTACTTGTGATATCAAGTGTTGGCTCATCAGTGTCTTCTTCTTTTCTTTTTATAATATCGTGAGCTCGGTAATCGAACCCTAATGACATTGGTGGGCACAGAAAGATTATTGTTAAAAATAGGGCTGTACCGAATATTCGCTTCGTATTCGCTTCGGGGCCGAATAGTGGACCTATTGACTATTCGGTATTCGGCCGAATAGTTGCGGTCGGACCGACTACGAATAGTAGTTACCTTACACCCGCTTCTGCATACACAGCCTTAATGCTGAAAACATGGAACGATTGGTTTTGTTGAAAGCTAATACAGCTTTACTGCTTTAACTAAGCTGATAGTGACAATATCCAAGTTTAGTTACTTGTTCTAATACTTAGGATTCTTTCATTCCTAGTTATTAGTTACCACAGAGTGACTGAAGGATGCAAAACATAAAATGTTTTTATATGTTTACTATTCTGTTCGAATACCAACTAGACATGGAAAGAATATAAACTCCGGCCAAATCCAAGTCGATAATAACAAAATCAAACGAATGGAAACATATAAGTACTTGGGTGCAAACTTCAAATGCTCCAACCTGCTGAGAGAAAAAATACAATCTAGAATTCAATCTAGAAATAAAGTATAATATGCCCTTCAAAATCTGCTAAATTTAAAGTGCTGTCTCGCAACACCAAGATCAAAATATATAATACGCTCATAAGACCAGTCATTTTATATGGCTCTGAAACTTGAAACAGAAATAAAAGAGATGAGGCCTTATTAAAGGCTTTCGAAAACAGTCTTAAGACAAATCTTTGGACCCAACAAAGATGCTAACAGCGGGGAATGGAGAGTGAGAAGCAACAACGTAGCACAATCTGTTTAAATCACCATTGATCACTGGCATCGTGAGAGCTAACAGACTAAAATGATTGGGGCATATTGAAAGAATGTCAGATGACAGAGAAGTAAAAACTGTATACACCAGTGAGATGAATGGGCGTAGACCACGAGGCAGACAACAACAAAAAAGTTCGAGAGATAATGTCCAGCCAGACCTGCAAACAACTGGTTTCACAAAATGTAAAGATAAGGCCAGCCAGAGAGATGAATGGAGACGAGTGATATCTGCAGCAGTAAACCTCAAGGGCTCAGAATACTAAAGAAGAAGATGACTTTTCTGTGCTACTTTATGTGAAGTAAAAGTTCAGCGTACTTTTGACATTATGGGTGTGTGTGTGTGTGTGTGTGTGTGTGTGTGTGTGTGTGTGTGTGTGTGTTTATAGATATATTTTATACACTATACACTATTCGTATTCGTATTCGGCCGAATAGTTGGTCCCGCTATTCGTATTCGGCCGAATAGTGAAAATTACTATTCGGTACAGCCCTAGTTAAAAATGCAGTAGTGTTGTGGGCATTTCTACTGCTGCCTCTCAACTCTCGTTCAGTTCCAGACGCATGTTATTTGATTTTGAATACATTATGTGATCAGAAATTTTTATGTTACGTTATCAAAATCGATTTCTTAGCACAATAGGCATTCCCATGCGTGCTCAGTCCTCCGATGCAGCAGCCTCTCCAAGGTACCTTTACTGCTTATTCCCATGAGAAGATGGTTATCTTATCTCCTGTCTTGACCTCAAAGACGGCATACATGTGCTTCATCAAGCCATCAAGCTTAACTCCTAGGTCACGCAATCGTGTTAGTGTCAGAAATTCAGCATCCCCCCCCCCCCCCAGACTAGTCCGTACAACATTGATAATATCAGCTCTGTCCATTCTTCTTCTGGTTTGCATTGGTGCATTACTTGCCAGCTGGTCAGCTCTTTCATTGTTCATTTTAGAGATCATCTTTATCGCACATCGGACATGACCATAAGTGCTCCGATCTCCTCCTGGAAATGTCTGCCAGTATTTTTAGGCTAACAACTCCTGTTCTGTTCTAGATGATGCAACGACGAGTGGCTACCGCATGGTTTTCCTGTATTGCACTCACAATTCGTTTATCTAGGATATGCAGTCTATTCAGTGAAAAATCATTTTCCACGAAAATGAAAGCCTCACAGTGTTTAGTCTCTCGCGTGGCGTCCATGATGTCCCTCCCGTCCAAAGATGGCCCTTTCCTGAATGTTGCACTGCCAGCCAGAGCCTCTGCGTTCTCATTACTTTCATACAAGCAAACCTTGGGGGACAAAATGAAGGAAACTTTGCGAAACGCTGCGTGCCGTATATATCAGATGGTGTCACTGTTTCCGTGTGTACCCTACCTTGTATTACAGGCTTACTCAGTCGCTGAGTAAACATACATTAGTGAATTCCTGAGATTTTATATATCTCTAAATGCTTCGTCACAGTCGTGATCGCCATTGCCAGGCTGCCGGTGGTAGAAGCAAAGGCTCCACTATCTTCTTTAATGACTTTTCCTTTGGTTCTTGTCGTGAAAAGCCATGCACTTCGCTTCCGACAAATCACAGAATCATCTGCATATATAACAGCATCTTCCAGTGACGTGTATTCTTCCTCCACCAATTCTTTCACATCTGCATCAACCATTCTTCTTCTTCTTCTGCCTTTCTATCCCCAAATGGAGCATAGGCGCTCAACCAGCTCACGCCAAGTCGTTCTATCTTTCGCCATTGTATGGAGCTCTCCCCCATGTCCTTCCCATCTTTCTAACTTCATTCTCCAGCTCTCTTCTCCATTTATTTTTTGGCCTTCCTTTATTCCTATGCCCCTGTGGGTTCCAATGCAAAGACATTCTGGTTATGCTGTTCTCCTGTTTTCTCAGTGTGTGCCCAATCCAGCGCCAGTGTCTTTAACTCGCCTCTTGTTCTACTGGAGCCTGTTGAGTTCTCTCCCAAAGTTATTCCATCATACCATTCAATTCCCTCTATTCTGCGCCTGCACCAGTTAATGAATGTAATTTATTAGTAATTGTCTTAGTTGTTCTCCATGTTTTCGCCAAATACAAAAGTGCTGATTTGGCACTGTCTCATAAGGATGATAACTACCACAAACTACTGCTTGTATTTATTTGGTATGGGTTATGTCTTATTGGGGAAATCACCCGTAAAGTACTCTTTCTGCCCAACCCAACCATAAATGGCCTCGTTTAAATCTGTTGCCTTTACCTGTATTTAGTCAATCGTGCAGTGGGTGTCCAAAGACGTAGCTCTTTCATTACCATTTACTTCTCTGTGTCCAGGCTTATAGATCCAGTAATGGAGGTTAACTGCGACATCCGAATGCTTTCTACCCATTAGGAGCATAGATTAAATACTGCGATTTTGTGAGGCATGTTCATGGAGTCCTAAACAATTACCCCATGTGTGGCTGCTTGTTCTCCTACCTATGCGAATGCTCTAGAAGCAGCAGTTATCTCCATGAAAATGTCTACTTTAACAAATAAATATTTCGACCTAAAGTAACAGCAGTTAAATTAACCATAGGTGCATGCTGAGTTGGTGCGATAACTCCCTGGTGCACAAGGAGTTAAAGAAATTGAAACAGAAACTGACAAAGATATGATCTTTTTCTACGGACTAGCAGAGTTAACATGCGCACAGTGTGACGTTTGTAACAATGTCAATCCACATACCGCAGTATAGTTTACTGTATTTTAGCGGTACTTAGCAGAGCAAATGGTTTGGCTATGTAACAAGACTGGTATCTGACAGGGCACTACACGTAGCATTGTTTTACAGATACCGCGGTAGCACACCAGGAGGTTGACCAAAGCAGGAAACAAGCGTTAGAAATATTGGAGACACTGAAAGGTACTACACACGAAGCAAACAGAAGGTTCTGTTTCAGACATATCTTTTTGCCCTGACGCCGCTAGAGTTTCAGCAGTCTCTTCTTCTTCTGCCTTTCTAGCTCCCAATGGAGCATAGGCCCTCAATAAATTCAAGCCAACTTGTTCTGTCCTATGCTATCGCATGCAGCTCCCCTCATCTGTCTAACTTTATTCTCCAGCTCTCTTCTCCGTGTGTTTTTTAGCCTTCCTTTATTCCTATGCCTCTGTGGGTTCCAAGGCAAAGACATTCTTGTTATGCTGTAGAGGAAATGGGTGAGGGGAGGGGGGCATCGCTTTGTATTATTTACTTTCGTTCAGAGGCAACTAATTTTCCATTCGGCGAATGTCCTACCGTTCACAAACCTACTACCTTTCTGTTATAGTGATGTCCTGGGGTTCACAGACCAGCTACCTTTCCATTATGGTGATGTCCTGCGGTTTAAAAACCAGCTACCTTTCCATTACAGTGACGTCATGTGGTTCACAAACCAGCTACCTTTCTATTATGGTAATGTCCTGCGGTTCACAGACCAGCTTCCTTTCTATTGTGCTGATGTCCTACCTCTCATAAACCAACTAACTTTATGTTACGTTTATGTAAGCCAGACATTTTGCTGTTGGGATGTTGTCTCACCATTCACAGAAATGCTACGAATCTGCAGGATTAACCTTTTTTGAGCCAGCTCTTCCCAATAAATAAAACAATTTACTGTGGTCGGTCCTCTCTAAGTTTTTGAGGAGCCAAGCTGCCCTCAACTTTCTCAGCTATGAATAAAAGCGTGCCGGTCTCTGTCTCTACATACATTTTTTCATACTTATCTTATAATTATGTACCATTCAACATATTATTGCAATTATTATTATTAAGCACTTTACCCAGGGTTAAGCCCTTTGAGAGGCTCCTTGACAATTTGTGTCGGTGTCTCTGAACTATGTCACGTAATATGTCTTAACAATGATTGGAACTGTATACTCACAGATTCGGCCACAAACGTGTACCACAGTCTCATCTCTCTAGGGGTATTATCCAGCCCGACATACTTCACCC